TATAATTATGAGGTTCATTTATGAATAATTTCTGGTTTTCTATATCAACTATATTCTTCAAAATATAAATTACAATTAATTTTATTAAATTATATACTGATGCTAATATAATGACCTGTTGCCATTTACTAGGCAGCTTTTCGATACATTTAGATTTAAGAATTAAGAAGGCAGAAGATAACGATTGATATTGCATTTAAAGTTTTGAAGATCTAAATTGACTGAAAAAGTCAAGAGAGAATTCAATAAGCGAGAATTGCGAGAGAGCATAATCTCGGAAGTCTCTTCGAAAAAATGTCGATCCTTGGGAAGAAGCTATCCGAGTGGAACTTCTTTCTTAGTAAAGGATCCAGAAGGGGATGGAATTGGTTCGTTCGAGTGTACGTCGCATAGCGAGTCATAACTGCGAAGGTTAGAACCGTTGTAACTAAGAAATGCAGAACGCCAGATCGTTTGCGATGGAAATACAAAAGCGAGACACATGCGACGTTTCTGCGTGAAAGCAGCTTTAGGAGTGGAAATAATTAGTCATCCACCAGGCAGCGTAAAGGCTTTTGAACCCTGTCAAGGTGTAAAGGAAAGGATTGAGCACAATAAAATAGTCAAATAGCACACGAGCTCACTCAATGGTATCTACATACCGATCTAAAATCCTCCTGAGAGAGTGTCGGTTCATGTGTCGTGTCACCCTATGCAAGGCAGTAAGATAAAAACTAGTACACCACTAAGATACAAGGGGTTACTGAGTCTGAAAGAATCAGAAGAAATACAAACATTATCAAAAGGCGAGAACAATAGAAGAGTAATCAAGAAGACAATCGATAACGATTGACATTGCATTTAATTTTTGGAGATCAAAGTTGGCTGGAAAAAAAGGAACCAGAAGAGAGTCTCACAAGCGAGAAGTGCGAGAAAAGAAACTGTTAGCATATTACTTACGGTTTCATCTAGCCAATTCAACTGTTAATTGGGGAGACCTTGCCGCCAATCTAGTACTGCGCTTAAATTCATAAAGTTTAGATACCATAGCGAAGACTTCATACAAACAATTACCATGAAAATATTTATAAAAAAAAGCACAGAGAGGCTACATTACGAAGGTAGGAAGTGACTGAAGCCAGATCAGTACCATTAATATTCGGATTCTTCTCTGGATTTTATCAAGCTCTCAATATATGGCAGGAGCACTAGACCGTATGTGACAACAATTTCAAAGCATCGATGAATAGTGGACTTAAAAATATATAAGATAGATTCTGGAGAGAAAATTGTCTAGCACAACACAGTGTGGCAACTTTCTTAGCAGCAGACTGAACAATGGATTTAATATAATATTTCCACTTGTATGAAATGTAAGGTTCTCTCTGGTTGTTAAACGCGTTACATCAATTTCGAAAATTTTCCTTTAAAGGTAGAATTGCATGTGTGAAAAGGGCTGTAGTGTTGAAAACTTTTCATCACTCACAAAGAAGGGTACACACTTTTGAACTCTATCAAACTGAAAATTGAAGACAGGGCAGATCCAGTCCAGAAATGGCAGTAATCTGATCAAGCCAGGTACTTGCTGAAGTGGCTATCGTGCCTTGTACAGGTGAACATTATTATAAAAAGAAAGGACGCCTTCTCTGACGAGAAAATGTCAATCCAGGAAAAAAAAATCCGTGGCGGTGCAGGCCGGAGAAATGAGCAAAGGTACTTACCTTAAGTTGCAGTAAAAATATCTACTTCCACTACGTCAGATATCTTGCGTCTTATAACAAACGGTAAAAAAAGAGGAAAAAACATTCCCTTTATAATCACTTTAGTGATCACGTGATAATAAGTCACGAGACCTTTTAACTATAAAAATTGGTAAAAAAAAAAAAAAGTTAGAGCTTTTAGTCAACCAGAACAAAAATCCAGGTAAGTACCTTAATCCTCCCACCTGAACCGTCAGTTTTTCCAGATCTTTTTTGCACGTGCTGTGACCATTTGGCTTAAAGTTCATATTTTCTTGATTTCAGATGAAAACATATTACATTTTTTTTTCATGTTTTTATAAGCGTTTCACCCCAAGCAAGGCAAGAAGCCATTAGGACGCAAGGGGTTACAGAAGATTTGGAGCAAGATCAGATAGGAATGATAGAGGAAAAGATGAGGAGAAGGATAGTGGATAGATCAAGGCAACTGGAGATGTAGATTGACTTTACATTTGAATAGTTGGAGATTATAGCTCTCAGGGAAACTGGAATAGGGAAAGGAGTTCCACAGGCGAGAGGTGCGAGACATGAAGCCATTAGAGTAGAAGAGACGGCTACATTTAACAGTTTCGACAGTGAAAGGGTGAGACCGGGATGCCAGCCTCGTAGGGCGCTTGAACTCATGAAATCTCGGAACCAGCGAATGCAGCTCCTCGGAGCAATTGCCATGAAAGTATTTGTAGAACAAACAGAGGGAGGCGACGGCGCGTCTGTGAGAGAGTGGCTTATCAAAGATACTTCAGAGAAATTTCTCAAAATTA